ATACAGCATTGTAGGAGGACAGACCTGTGACTTTTTTTTTCTTTTTCTTGTATCTTTTTTTTCATTTATTACCCATGTAAAAATTTTTTTTACTTGTGAGACAGTATGGTAATAATTGGTATGTCATGACAAGGAGTACGTATTTAGAAGACCAGAATGACAGGAATCCCAAATGTGACCCTTCTATTACACATTGCTATCTTCAGTGCAGTTGTTTCATTCATAGGTATCAACATGTATAGTTAGTCAGGGTGAGAATACTACCAATTAACTGCTAGTTTCAAAAACCTGCTGATGTTTCTCAGGATCATTGCCTTGCCCATCTTTTGTGTATAAATGTATGGCTTTGTCCCTGTCCTGTTTCCCAGCTTTTTTCTTTGCCCTCTCCTCATTGTCCAATCCTCAAGCTCTAGCTTTCCTTTTAATTGTTTTATACTTTTCTATTTGTATGTCTTCTTTTGAGTTCTTATACTAGGGAGACTATACGATATTTACACATGTGGGTCTGGTCTATTTCACTTAGGAGTATATTTTCAAGTAGCATCCACTTAAATATAAATGCTTCGTTTATCATTCTTTAGAGCTGAGTAATACTCCATTATATAAAAATACCACATCTTTTTCAACCATTCCTCATGTGATGGGCATCTTGGTTGTTTCCAAGATTTGGCTCTCAAAACTGTGCTGCTATAAACATAGGTGCACATATATCACTATGATATGACGTATTGAGTTCCTCCAGGAAAATTACCCGTAGGAGGATAGTTGGCTTGAATGGGATTTCCAGTACTAGTTTCTTGAGGAGTCTCCACACTGCTTTCCACACTGGTTACACCAGTCTAAATTCCCACCAGCAGTGGAGAAGAGTTCCCTTTTCCCCACAGCCTCTCCAACATTTGTTGTTGGTTGATTTCTTTATCATAGCCATTCTTTCTGGAGTGAGATGGTATCTCAGTGTTGTTTTAATTTGCATTTCATGGATGGCTAGTGATGTGGAGCATCTTTTTGTATATTTATTTGCTTCTTTAATTTCTTCCTTTGAGAAGTGTGTATTCGTCTCAGATGCCCATTTCTGGATTGGGTCTTTAAATTTAGCGGCCCTAATTTTTTTTTTATAATTTTATTTATTTTTATACTTAATCATTGGCTGACAATCTAATCATGCAGAGTACTTCCATAAAAGTGATTTTATTAATTTTATTTATTTCCTTTTTAAAAATTTTTTTAGGAGAGTAACAATGGTTAGTACATTGTGTATTGTTACTGCCAAAGTAGTTTCTCATATTACAAGATATAGGCAAGAAATAATAAATAAACAACATAGGTACAAACCTCTGGTTTTTTTTTTTAAAGTCAACAGAAAATGGAAATATACTTTTTAAAGTTTCTAATGCTAGGAGAA